AATCATATGCACACAACATATGAGCCAAGTCCAGATAAATAATAATACAAAGTGGAAAATTTGCCACTTCTTTTAACCAGCAGAATTGAGAAAAACAAATGATTCTAAGTTTCATCTACCATTATCTTTTCTACCTCTGAAACTTAAAAGCTTACCATTGAAAATTATGTTAATGGAATTATAAAATTGATCAATTATTTAAATCTTTATTTTTTTATACATTGGAGTTTGGGGGAAGGGGAGAGCTTGAATTCAACTGCCTTTTTCAATTTTTCCGAAACACTTTTCATAAAAAAAAGAAACAAAAATTCTACATACCATAAGCTTGAATAATTATATTATTCCTTGTGACACAGACAGGGTGTTTAAAATAAAAACAACAAACAGGAAAACAGAATAGAAAGAATGTATTTACACATTGTCTACCTGTACTAAGAAAAAAACACAATAAAAGATTCCAAAAAAAAACTCTCAAGAAGTCCCGATCAACTCTGTAAATAACACAAAGAAAAAACACAAAAATAACACCTCATCAAGGCTGAAGAAGACCTCTAATTAAAATTCCAGGTTAATTAAATCCATTAATGAAGCAGGGTGTTAGCAGCCACTGTTTCTTCACTGTTGTGACACACTGACGGTTAAAAATTCCAAAAATGTCCTTGTTGATTTTTCGTCACCTATTTACGGATTTGATAGGAAGCACAATTAAAATCCTATCACCTGATGACAAAACATTTCAGGCCAGTCATCATTGTCTAAAAACACCCACAAAGAATTACAATTTACCGTCAGGTGGAATGAATGCAGATTTGGACATTTAAATATTTGAAAAAATTTAAAACGCGCTTCTGAATGGACTAGCCTGATCGGGGGCATTCCGCTCGATACGGAAGTTTTTTGCGTCTATTTGTGAATTTTCACCTCATTCAGGTGATAGAACATCAAGCACCTGTCTCCAGGCAAAATTACCTGGGTTTTCTTAAGAGTACGGTCCATTAAACTTCATTAAGACAGGTGCGCAGTTATTTTATATCGACAGACTATGAAACTTAAGCAATCGAGCTAGACCAAATAAAATGTTACACAGTAATATTTTTCGAATCTTTTAATATTTTAAATTGCCACAGTTTTCTCATAAATGGCCATAAAATAAGTGTCACTTGTATCTAGGTCTGTGGAATTTAACATCCATCATTGTTAAATTTAGGGGATTAAAATACATTTATTCAACACTACACCTATCACATCTTTTTCTAGACAAGTAATATGTTGACTCAATGTTCAGTTATAACCTCATATACACTGTAGTATTTCTTTAATGGAATCAATGTGCTGGAGATGTGCATAATATACTAGAGGCAAGAACCAGCTTTCATAAAGTCACAATGGAATGAACTTCCTCTAAAAAATAAGATGGTCATTCATCAGGAAATGTAATCCAGATGCAACTCTGGTGGTGTGCATCCTTAAGATGCATGGTCCATACAACTCTGGTGGTGTCCTTGGAGGAATGGTCCATACAACTCTGGTCCAGGTAGAACTTGTGGTTACTTGGAATTTAATAGACCCATGCACTTTAAAGGTTAAGTCAGATCCAGCATCTGAAGCAAACTTAAGGTCATGTGCATCCCTAGATGCATCATCCATACCAATTTGGTCCGGGTTGGACTTATAGTGAAAAAAAAATCTTTTTGTTGAAGCCATAAATCTCTAAAATAATTTAATTTTGAACTTCTTTACTTCCTCACAAACCCTAAAGGCATTGTAAACCTTAAATGACTCAATTCTAACTGTTTTATGTCCACCTCCCAAAACAAACCAATAAAGCTGCCTTATAGTCACACTAAACTTCTGTTTTTTTAAATACATTTGATCATCCATTTCAGTTTCCAGAAACCAATACCTGGAATAGCTTGAAGTCCAAAGCTCTTTTTCTTGTTCTACCCTTTATATCTCTTGTCCTTGGATATCTCAAAATTTTTCCTCTTGATAATGAAGTGTGACTGTATATATACTGTTAATACAATGAAACACTGATACCGTTGTATGCCCATGGAAGGACAGGTTAATGTTTTTCTTATCGGAGGCAAACTTTAAGGTCAAAAGATAGAAAATAATGGTTCCCATAGAAAGGTCTTGTCAACAATTCAGTTGGTTTCCAAATAAAAATATTATCAAAATGAATACTGGTACAAAATTGAAAAATGAAAGACCTTAGTATCTCCACCTGTTCAAATGGTATGGTCAAAGATATTTTTTTTACATGACAGTCAAACTTCAAGGTCAAAAGTTCAAAAATGTAAGAGGGGACTTCTTGTAAGGTCATGCTCGTCTGAGATCAAAAATGTTAATCTTAATATTTGAAAAAGGACTAGTTAAAAGGAATGTATACATTTTAAGTCTGAAAGTCTTAGCACCAAAAATTCAAAAGTTATGACCAAGGTTAAGTTTTTTTTTTATTTTTGCTGACAGACAGCTAGACAGACAAACAGGCAGGCAAACATATCCATGCCTTGGAGCCTTTGATTACCAGGGCATAAAAAAAAACCATTGTTAAATTAAAGTACTCTTCTTAAAAAAAAAAAAACAACCTTGATAGAGAATGGTCAGGAAAAGTTTAAGTGTCCATAGGAAATCACATGACAGACAGACAGGGAAGTAGAATTTTCAGGGAGATTAACATTGGACTGGCTGCTGAGACAAGAAACTCTGAAGTAATGGAGTTACATATCTAGCTATCTAAAAGGTAAGTTTACATCATTAATTAAGGTTTTCCGCTCAGGCGGAAGACCTTCTACTGATTCTGATGGTTAAGATTATTCCTATTATTCTTTTTTTTTTTTCCTAGACGCCAACTTTGATACCTCGTAACTCGCTCATTTCTTAACATATTTCGCTCAAATTTTCAGAGTTTTTGGACGTTACAAAACTCAATTAAAATGTTTTCATACATTTCAAAAATTCCCTTCCGCTTTCGAGTTATTTCCCTTTAAATGAAAATTTGGTACTGTTCGTTTCCAGACAAAGGCTCAGAAACGACAAAAGCGGGAGCAGAATGTCTACTGCATTTAAATACTAAAAGAATTGAAGTTGTGCACATCGGTTTTTCTTTTTCGATTTATGCGCTCAAAACGGTGTTAGATAGGGGTCAAAAATGAGAATGCCTAAAAGCGCCAAATTTTACATATATTTCCTTGTGTATCTTTTAAACTAAAAATAATTTGTTAAGACATGTTTCACAAATATTGTGCATAATTTTAAGATCTATCATTTGACATCATTAAAAAGGGGCTGGCCCCTCAAATTAGGGGTCAAGGAAGCTTGAAAGTTTTTGCATTATAACTCAAAAACGGTAAATATTTCGATATGGTTATCGATTTGAAATGGGTCTTTAACATCTTATTGATCTCATGAAAACGTTATTTGTTCGAATCTTGTGTTATTAAATGAGCAGCAAATTTTATAATCCATGTACAGGTAACTGATTAATTTTATACAGCAAGTGAAGAATTCTTTATGCGTACGCGAATAACACGTACTGTAACTGAAATAAACTGGATAAGAATAATATACTTAACTAAATTGAATGTTAAACTTTGTTGAAATAAAGTTTTTAACGTATTCTCTAGCTGGATGTCATACAGATTATTCAGAGACAACTTTCTCCTTGTATTTAGTTTAAATTACAAGACGGGAGATAGGAAAAATACTTATCATCTTTCATTCGATTGATACTGAATGTAGCATTATTTATAAAAAAAAAAAAAAAAAAATCAAGCTTAAAATAATTCACTGTCATTTAATTCATGCATCGTGAATTTTCCTCGGACTTTGACTGTTTTTGTTTACATTTGTGCAACCCGTTTATCGATCGCGCATTGACCTATATACATTCCGGAGGTCAACATTACCGCTCTTTGATTTTTACGCGAGTCCCAGAGTTATCTAAAACGATGCTAGTCATCGATTTACTCAGTTTAAAATCAAGAATTTGACATATTTGCGTAAATCGTAAGAATATTTCTAGACACAAATATAAAGGTTTTCTTGAACATGTATGAGTATTAAAAGATAAAATGTCTGATTCTATTCTTTGACGAATGAATAAAAGGCGTTGCGATTTTACTCAGGTACAGATGATTTCTCTGGACGAGTCCATTGGTTACATTGATAGGTGACGCAGGATGACCTATCGATAACTCTGCCAATTTTGATTGTGATTGTAATTGCACATGTACATAAATTAATGTTGAATTCTACACTTGTGAAGTACATTATAGTTTCGTTATTTAAAGAATCGGGATATCACAACTGCAACTTAATTGTTTTTAATTTGAACGGATGATTCTATTATTGGAAAGGTACACATATTTAGGCGCCATCGTCTCCCTCTCGACTTTGAAGTTATTGCAATCGTTACATGTATACGGGCCTATATCAAGTTATTCTAGTTGCTTAAATCATTTCAGGAAAAATTGCGATGTTGTTTATAATAGCAATTACAAACAAACATGAGAAATGCACACAGTAAATTGTAAGTGGAAGTGACGTTTTCAATTCTCATGAAAATCGAAAATTAAATTATAAATTTCTTTTATTTCATCGAATAAGAAGCTAGAATATCACAATGACACGATTTTATGTGCATGTACTTGATATTAACTAAGTACATGCTGTTTTACACAGAAGAGCACCCAACATATATGAGCTTTAAGAATACGAGAAAAAAAATGAAGAATTAGAAATTTTTCTTACAAATTCAAAATTGCTTCCTGTAATTTCGAACAAATATTCCAAGCCTTTAAATATTCTTTCGTGTTTATTAGACTAAAAGAGATTAAATTATTAAATTTCCACTCATTGCGATACGTAACCCCCCTGAAATGATACAATGCTTTCCTTCAGACTCGAGAATGGCAGGCCAGGGCTGGTGTTGAAATCCATGATTAATCCATAACCTATTATAATATTAACCAATAATCATACGCGATCTTTTTTTTTAATTCGCAGGTTGTCAAATAATTTTTTTTAAAAAGTCGGCAAAGATAAGTACACGTCACTTTGACTTTCTTATTCATAAACTTTTTAATTTCTAAAACTTGTGCCGATTAGAGTATACAATCGAGCATCGAAGTGTGTACATGTACTACATGTACTACAGTGTAGTTTTTTTTTTTTTTTTTTGGGGGGGGGGGTTACCAGTTTTCGCTGCATTTGATTTCCCGAATTTTGCATTGCATTTCCGACAATTAATAATTTTATTTGTTACATTCATTATTTTCATTCTAGATTTTTACACTATTGTTTTTAGCAATTCAACGTTAACAAAGTTAATAGAATATAATTGGTGAAAGTAACACATATGATTTATAAAACGAAAGTCAAGCAATAAAAGTTAAAGTTTGTATTTTGAAAAATAAATCAAGTCAAGTCACATAAAACAAAGACAGGTTGAAACGCTCACACATGGACATACACACAAATGTTTTGGTAACTCGGAATAGTCCAGAGTAAAGCTATATTTTCTTGATACGGAATGTCCAATACATCTAATGTTCACGTCCGGGATAGTCCATGGCAGTTTTATCACACATACGCAATTATCATACAAGTAGAACGCTCTTTGAGGTTGAGGATTGACACTTATTCCTTAGATAAATACTGAGTGACAAATTCCTTTTTACTGTCTTAACTTAACTTGATAGGTAAATAATTTTAGCATATGTTAAAAATAAGCATTAGAAATAATTCTTTTCATAAAATTCAATTCTGTTACATTTCAAATGAATTTGTAAAATTAACTTTATGACAATTGTCTAGCTGCAGATCTGTAGCTCGCTAGCTGTTCTTAAAAATTTGAGATGGATCACCAGAGAGCTACAGTGTTTCACATACAGCATTATCTCAAATTCAGGCTCAGAAGGACTAGTACTATTAAAAACGATTGTAAGGAATGTTTAACTGTAGAAAAATTTAAGGAATGTGCTAGAGACACACGGTAAATAATATTTTTAGATTCAAGCAGTTGAAAAACACGGATATTGAATATAGCTTCAGCGCAATTTTTTCTAATATTTTCTATTTTTTTATTATTCGTATTTCTCAATTTATCATGTTCAAATAACGTGTATTTTTTTTATTAGGGCACATTAAACCTTATTTGTCAACCAGTCTGACAGTGTCCATCTGTCACGAGAACTTTAAACTTGATAATAACTATTGAATGAGTTGAATTAGGACTTTCATATTTCACATGTGCATTACTTGTGACATGTGATTTTCAAATATACTGTGATTTTTAACCCCGTGACCTTGATCTTGGAGCTTGACCTACTTAAAAAATAACATTACTTTAAATTGACCATAACTATTGAAAGCTTTCATTTTATAAACATATAATGTATTACCCGTGTCAACGCCTTTGAAAATTCATTATGATTTTTGACCTTTTGACCTTGAAGTTTAACAGGCTTTTCCAAAATGTAAACATTGCCTAAAATTGACCATGACTTTTGATAAAGAAAGGATAACGCTTTCATACCTAGATTTACACATGTATATACGTATTAGCTTTGACAAGGCCTATCGAAAAAAGTATAGCTTAAGAATTCGTCAATACGGTAGCACACAAATTGGCTTTGCTTTTCACCAGCGTGTGTCATGGTGTGACGTAAGGTCATTTTAACAAGGTCAAGGTTGCAAACATTCCTTTACTATCTTTTTTAATAGTAAAACATAAATAAAATGAGATCTACCCTTAAAAGATTGCTTTAACATTAGAACGTGGCATGACCTTGACCCAAGGTCATTTCTCCCTGTCCGCAGCTCCGACGGAAGACCTACTCGTTGCTTTGCAACGAGCTTGGCTCTAGTTATTATAATAATACTTTAATGTTATTCATGAAGACAAATATCATAACATATATCTATGAAAAACTTTTGAAGTAGCTTGATCTAGCTTATAGTTCTGTGATTTCATAAAATTTAATAAAATCAAATAATTCATTAACATATAATCTGAAATATCAATTACAATTTACACAGCTGACAAAATCTAAGGACTTCTTTCAAGTATGGCCGGAGGATGGGGGGGGGGGGGAGTCAGGGAAGGCAAGGAACTGGAAGTAATATTTTATCACAAAAGTTGAAATCAAAGAGCTTAATTTATGTTTGCATTCATAATAATCAATTTCATCAATAGCAAAAATGTTTTTTTCCAGTGTATTAACAGTTTGAATGTATATTTTATGGTTCCTTGATACTCTGATAAGGTAGATAACTCTGAATTGAATATATGTCTATTATTTCTTTATAAATTTCAAAGTTCAAAATATGTTTCTTTTTGTTCAAATCTAATCTGCAACCTTTATGTTGAAAATGTTTGTATTTTACTAATAAAATCTATTTCTTCTTAAAACTCCTAATCATTAAGGCATAAATTAAATTCATGACTGAACAGAGGGATTATGAGCCTTAAAAAAGAAAACCAACCTTAAACTCCTATCATTTTACTTATAGCTCAAATGATCAGCTCTGGACCCCCATGTTTTTTACTGATTGAGATTCTTAATCTAGTTAGCTATGGACCCCTGTGTTTACGGAACCTCTCTGTTTAATTCGCTATGAACCCCTGTTTTCTTTTTTTTGCAGAACATCTCTTTAAAATTAACTATGGACCCCTGTTCTAGGAGCCTCCCAATCTAATTTTAGCCATGAACACCCGCTACTGTGCACAAGACGTTTTACGCTGCAGTGTTTGTAAAGAGGACCCTCTACACAGTTATTGTCAGCTGTGTCACATCAACCTGTGTACTAACTGTATAGAAAGCCACCTCTCTGACTCGAACAAACATCACCCAGTGGTCCCCTACCAAACTAAAAATAATAACTACCCCCCATGTCCTCAGCATAGGGACAGACACTGTGAAGATTTCTGTGAGAAATGTGACGTTCCTGTCTGTTCCAACTGTCTGTCGTCTGGTAAACACAATAGACACACTTTATCAGATGTTCTGCAGAAACTCAGAGAGAAAACAGAAGATTTAAAAAATGACCTGAAAGAATTGCAGGATAGAATTCGTCCTAAATATGAAGAAATTGTAACTGATTTAAGAACCCAGGAAGCCAGTCTAGACACGTATTGTGCTGAACTCACTGCGGCCATAGTCAGAGAAGGAGAAGACTGGCACAGAAAGATCGACATCGTCGTCAACAAAAGATTATCTGAAGCTGAGGAGATGAAAAACAAATACCACACGGCTCTCAGTAAGCATGAAAAGGACGTCAGGGACACAGCTTCTGAAATTGAACAGAGTATTCTTGATTTGGAGAAAATGCTGGATTCCAATGACGCCTTCCTCATTTCAGTTTACGAGTCCCGTAATACAGAATTCAGAAGTTTTCCACCCAGAGTCCTGGTTACCGTGCCGATCTTCACCTCTCCTAGAGACAACAAAGAACAGCTGGATCAACTGTTTGGTTCTTTGTCGGGATCAGACGTTAAAACCGACGAGAATGGCTACACAATGGAGGAACCCGAGATTCCAACCTCCCCTCCCTTCAAACCACTACTCAACCAACCAAGGACGACTGTCTGTATCAACATAGGACAGACTTGGCCCAACAGTGTAGCCTGTCTGGGTGATGACAAAGTATGGACGTGTGGTTATGACAACAGTATACGACTCTATAACCTTCAAAACAGACTGCTGAAGTCACTCCAAACCAAGTCAGGGAAGATACCAGGTGACATCGCACTGATGAGGAGTGGAGAACTAGTGTATACTGATCCTCAGGCCAGAGGTATAAATAAAGTGAAGAATAAAAAGATAAAGGAAATGGTCAGATTTAAGGGATGGATGCCCTTCAATGTATGCAGCACCTTCTCAGATGACCTGCTGGTTAGCATGTGCAGTGTGGATTATTCAGAATCCAAGGTCGTCCGTTTCTCTGACTTCACAGAGACACAAACCGTTCAGTTTAACAATGACGGGACTCCTCTGTATTCCCCTGGCTTTGGTAAATACATAACTGAGAACAGAAACCTGGATATCTGTGTATCTGATGGTAACGCAATGGCAGTAGTAGTGGTCAGTAGGGCGGGGAAACTCCGATTTAGATACACCGGTCATCCCTCCTCTGCCACTGGACCATTCACTCCGCGCGGGATCGCGGCAGACGGACAGAGTCAGATCCTGGTAGCGGACATTAACAACCACTGCGTTTACGTCCTGGACAGCGACGGAGCGCTCCTACGTAAAATGTGTCAGATCACAAGTCCGTATGGAATCTGTGTGGACAGCAGGGACAACCTCTACGTCATAGAATGGAATCAGCCCTCCATGGGGATGGTCAGGAAAATACAATACATGTAATGACTGGGATTATTACAATACATGACTTGTAATACCTTGTGACTGGGGATTATTACAATACATGTAATACGTTGTGACTGGGATTATTACAATACATGACCTGTAATACCTTGTGACTGGAATTATTACAATACATGACTTGTAATACCTTGTGACTGGGATTATTACAATACATGACTTGTAATACCTTGTGTCTGGGATTATTACAATACATGACTTGTAATACCTTGTGACTGGGATTATTACAATACATGACTTGTAATACCTTGTGTCTGGGATTATTACAATACATGACCTCATGGGGAAGTCAGGAAAATACAATACATGTAATGACTGGGATTTCTACAATACATGTCACACACTGTGACTGGGGTTTATAACTGATTAGCTAACACCGTGTTGATATCTCACAACATGCTAATGCTTAACTCATCAAAAGCAACAAGATGTCCATACCTAACTGAAAATAAGAATGTTAAGTTTCATTAAGTTAGTGTTCTTGCTTTAATGCTTTGATGCTTCCAAGACAGAGACATTGTATCAACATATTTGAAAGACCTATGCTATTGTTAGACTGGGCTTGGTTCCATAAATCGAGCCAATTGCATTGTTGCTGATGAATTCAAAATACGAGAACTGAATTTTTTCTCAAAATTATTATTCACACAATAATTTTCTTTTTTATAAAGATTTTTCATTCTCAAAATTATGATTTCTTTTTTTTTTTTTTTTTTTTTTTATTCTTTGACCTATTCAATGCCAGTATTTCTGTTACATACATAAATTGACAAATTCAAAATTTAGCAAAATCACTGGATATTGTATGGTTAGTGTTATCATGAAATTGTTCTGACACACATCCAAACCACATACATGTATTCAATTTGTATTTTTTAGGGATTTATTGAGGGTATTTTCGAATCAGCGCATTGAAGATTGTGTGCCAAATTCACTGAAATATGTTGTCGCTTTTTAAAGTAACACATATTTTAAGTACAAGTCAAAAGAGAACAGCTGGGTGTATCAATAACCTTGACCTTTTGACTTTGACCCCTGAGAAAGTAGCCGAATACTTCAGTAACTTGCCTGCATATAGTTAAAATTTGTACTCTGTATTTGGGGTCTTGGAAAGGGAAAAATTTTTAAAGAATTATTTCTACAAAAATCATTGAAAATACTTGTTTAGTTTTATTTGAAGTAATTTAATTTTAATAATTCATCCAGTACACTCTGATAGGATAGAGAGCTCTTAGCCTCATTCATTTCAGATTATTTTATTTCTTTTTTGTAATTTAATTATATGTGAGAGTTCCTTCCTTAATATTGTTTGTTAATGAATCAGGAAGTAATATTGGAATCAAACAAATAATTTTAGAAAACTCAAGTCTTTTTTTTAAGTTTTTTTTTCATCAATGGTATTATTATTCACACAATAATTTTCTTTTTTATAAAGAAAACATATTTCCATTCTCAATATCAAGTAATATTTTCAAAATTATGATTTCTGTTTCTTTTTTTAAATATAAATCGATCCTTTCATAAAATTGCTTTCATAACATTAAAAAAAATGCTAAAAATCATTTATCTGGTTTCAATATTTTGACAAGGGGAGCTAGCTGTAAGATGGTTGCATTATTTTGACAAGCGGAGGTAACTGTTAGATGGTTTTACAAAAAAGGAGGTAACTGTTAATTTTTACAAAAGGGGGCTAACTGTTACCAGGTTGTGTAATTTTGACGTCAAATATTTTTTCCACGTGTTTGTTGTACGCGGTGATCTGGAATACTGTAGTGGGCGTGTCCTCGATACAGGAGATATTGACAGGTACGACGTCCAATGAAACTCGCTCCCATCTCATGTAGTCACCGTCGCCATGGACACGGAATATCTCCGCCCACAATCTACAAAACAAAAAAGTCAAATAAAAGCTAGCACTACAGTGCAACACAGGCACGTGGCATCGTTTTTGAAAGTGGGGGGCCAACCAGAGAAAAAAATTTTTTTTACTTAAACTTAATACCTGTAAATGTAAATCCTATTTCGGGGGGGAGGGGGGGGGGGGGGTAGTGGCCAACTTTTTTCAATTTAAGGCCAACTTCCAATTTTTTTGCATACAATACTATGTTTTCCTTTTTATCACTATACTGTAGTAAGAAGTGGGGGGCCAACCAAACTTTCAATGGACATTTTCAATAGTAAAGGTATTGTTTGGAAAAAAAAGTGAGGGGGCCAGCCCCCCCCCCCCCCCCCCCCCCCCCCCCCCCCCCCCCCCCCCCCGTTACTACATGCCTGCAACATTAAGGCATCCAAATAATTTTTTTTTCAAATTAGATTGTTCTTTAAATGAAAGGACATCTACCGTCTACTAAAGAAAACTTGACTCTCTTTGTATAGTTCTATTATTACATTTAACATAATGATTATATACAATCAAAACCAAAATTCTGAGAAAATTTGATCTTGTCTTTTAATAATGATTTATTCTCTTTTGCAATATATGTAAGGAACACACATTAAAAATATTTTGAGATGACAGTTTAAAAACATGCAGAAATAAATTGAGAAACGGCACACTTTTTTGTGCGCAACGTACAGTTTTTTCAATGGGTGGCACTGTAGCTCTCCGGTCTGTCAAAATATTTTGCTACAGTTCTGCAGCTAGTCCATTAATAACAATTTATTGCCTCCTTCAATAATGTGCCATAAAATCTTAATGTCTCATCTACAGTAGAGTGATAAAAGTACCGTCTACAGTCAAGTGATAAAAATACCGATACTTCTCAACAGATCAGCAATCAGAAGCACAACATCTAAACATTAAAATCTAGAGTTAACTGTATCAACCGTATTATAAAATTCTTACAGTAATAAATATTATAACAGAGTACCAGCTAAGTGAATTATCTGTTACACTGCATAAAGGGGAAGAACTCCTACAACTTCAGTCTCAATATCACAATGTTTTAAGTTTAAAAAGTTTCTGATAGAGTTACAAATATTTGCTTCAATGAATTTTTTATACTTCTTTTTAACATTATTGTAACACTCATTAGTCAAAGCTGCAATAGATAATTCTGTAAATTATGTACAAACCAAAAAAGAAATAAATTAACTAATCTAATTAATTTTTATAGGATGTATATAAAAAATTTTTCTTGAGTTTTGATATTGTATTACATTTATGTGATGTATAAACTCATTTCTTTTTTCACTTTTTGTACAGGACCACTAGAAATTTATCAATTTAATGTTTGCAAAAAGTTTAAATCTTACTTTTTTTCTGATAGAGCTATAGATATTTGTTTAAATAAAAATGTCATAATAGTTTTTTTTTAAATATAGCTGCATGCAAAAAATAATTCTTTAAATTATGTACAAACCAAAAAAGAACAGATTCAATCAAATTTTTTTCTTGAGTTTTGATATTTGCATGACATTCGTGTAATGAATAAACTCATTTCTTTTCTCACTTTATGTACAGCAAATATTCATCGAATTATTTTTTTTTTCTGCATCCATGATTATTTATAAATATACAAAGTATACAGAGAGCTCTTATCTTCCCACAATAACAAAATCAAGTTACAGCATTTTAGCTGAGGCCGGATGACGGCACCAAGAAAAATAATAAATCCTGAAGTCTGTGATTCTATAAATAGATTCCTTACCCTCCAGAAATGAGTCAAACACCTACACGGAATGAAGCGAAACAAAAACAACAAATAACTTAGATTCCAGTTAGAAAAAATTTACAGAAATCCTTTGAAAAATCCAAACACTGACTTTGTTTTAAGACGAGAGTTTTGTGTTTTATGAACATTCAGATTGATCCCAGGAACAAATTAACCACCACAATGTAGGACATATTGATCGTCATGACAACAGACAATCATTGATTTCCATGACAACAGCTGCTATACTTCTCTCACAAGATGACACCCCTGTCTTGTGTTGATTTTCTAATTTGTATTTGGTTAAATGTGCAGGGAGACAAGAAAATCAATTTTATATGGTGGAGATTTTGTTTTCAGATAGTTTGAACATCATTGAACATTAAGGATTTTTCCCCATCTTTTTTTCTGTAAAAAAAAATTGAAGCCGGGCCCATTTAACACAATTCAGTGTCATTCAGACACAAAGCATCCTCAAACGTCTTACTCCACGATTTAAAAGCTTTCATCCTGTAACCACTGCACAACATCTGCAATCCGAAATAATGTATACAGAGTTATTTTCGACTCGTATTATTTTCGCCCTTTTGCACTTGCGAACAATTTTGCCCAGTTTTAAATTCGCCCAGTCATAGTTCTGTTAAAGAAATTATGAGGTGTAATTTGAATTCACCCCATTTTAAATTCACCCAATCAAGAAGAGGGCGAAAGGGGCGAAAGTAAAAACCAGGGCAAAAATTTCCCTGTATACAGTATTCATAATCATTAAGATTCTCTCTCAACATGGTCAAAGACCCTAAAGGTTTTAAACATAGATATTTAAGGTAGCTCTATACACACTGATCACTGAAGAGTTCCAATTCCTGGATAATTTCTATTCTATTAGTGATTTGTTCTTTGGTGTAATAAAATGATATTCCACAATAAATGAAAGAAAGTAAAGTAAACTTAGACTGAGATAAAGTAATTAAAAACATTATTTGTAAGAGATATTAGGTTTTGGCCATGGATATCATACTGGATAACTCAGCCGGTTCGATTCCCGGTCCTGACTCCAGCAATACATTTCCTCCTTTCCTGTTACAGATTTGGTGCCGTTGACCACCCTTTGAATTGCAGGTGATAGTCTGCCAGTGGGTAAAAAGACCTGTAATGGGTTGTGTCTTCAAGGGCAAAGACCATTTAAGGAGGGAGGAATGTAATGGTTTGGGCCGTTGTTATCGGCCTGGATAGCTCAGTTGGTAGAGCACCTGACTAGAGATGCAGGGGTCCCGGGTTTGATTCATGGTCCAGCCATACATTTTCTCTTTTCCTGTCACACAAGTACATGTATTTTTCTACCATGATTTCTATTCATTGATATTTCAATATCTCTGAAATTTTTTCTATAGAAATGTACGTGGTAGTATCATTTAAAGGCTGGGTATCTGCTGGAAATCTTATGTTGCAAAACTGTAACCCATACCTGTACACATAAGGATTAACCCCTTCCTCTGTTACATTGAATAATTCTTCATACCACTGCATCTTGATGCAGGCAATATATGTTTCACATGTTATGGAATCTGGTTAATAGTGAAAATTTCAAACTAAACACATTGATTTTTTTTAAGAGTAGATTCAATTAGTTTCTGTTTTCTCTCCCCTTTTTGCAGAATCTAAGGAACTAAATCTTGGTCATGTACCTATATATATTCCCATTTCTAAGATTTTTCTCTGTGATAACTCTTTGAAAGTTAGCGGAGTTGATTTCTTGATAATTCTACTGAAATGCAAATTACGCAGGTCGATAAGTCAGGAGCTAAGGAGGCCTAATATACATGCCCTGGCATACTATACTAACTAGACCCTGATTCCTTAAATATTTTGTTTTTTTCAGCCATTATTGCAAGGAATTGTAAGACTTACGTATCTCCCTTTTAAAAATCTTGGGTCAAGCCTGGTACTTACAGCTGATTACAAACGTTGCTTTTTCTTGGTCTCCTCATGGCTAAGGTCAAAGGTCAGGGGTCGGGACACATGATGACCTTTGAACTGCAAGCACTAAGGAGTACATCTCCATTGTCAGGCACATTCAAGGTTAAAGTTTAAAAGGTTAAAATCCTTCTTAATTCAAAGGAAATCTTCAATCTGTATAAACACTTCCTCAAAACATTTTATCCACTACCACCAACACAATGGCTGGCTTGGCTACATGTGTTTATATTTTACAGGAACAAAAACTTTTCAGCATGAAAACCTGGCCTCCATTTTAATGGATTGTAATTGATTTGATACAGAGCGTTATCTTAAAACACTTAAAGTAATTCCCAGGTTCCTCTGCCTCAACACAATACACGAGTTCACTCTGTAGAAACACCAAGATCAGCATGTCAGCTGTATATCTTTTTTATCTCCACACATCAAAGAGTGACATCCTTAATTTATCACTTTCTACCTCATCTACAGGTCTGCTCAAAATTCAGATCCAAAGTTTTTTATATCCATTAGGGAAAAAACACATACAGATGTACATAAAAGTGAAGAAAATGAATAATGTCGAAATTATTATATCAATTATGAAAATGCGAAGAAATATTTTTTTTCTTGATAAAATTTTTAACCTTTTAGCTAAATCTATAAAAATATATAACCATTATTATCGATAAAGCCCTCATTCTGAAGGTTATTATCCAAGGTCACTCAGTTGAGTCCTGTACAGTGTTACAGTGTCAAGAAAGTTCCTATTGAGAATTTTCATAAGTATTTATAACTTTTCAAATCCAATTTCAACTGTTAAATATTATTTATATGTATTTTATATAATTCTCATTCTCCATGTTCTCCATCATACACATTAAACTAGTAAACTTGCCATCCCAATACGCAAGTTTCGAGATTATCTCCCTTGGTGCGTTCTTTCGTTGAGGAGGGGAGTTTGGTTGCCGCGTAAACAAACAGGTGGGACAGATATTTATTATTGGATATACCGCATCATAGATATACTGGTTTGTCGTTACTATATAATTGTAAGGATGCACTGTTCAACTCAAGAAAAACCGAATTATTTTAAAGGTGTCATTTTTTAAAGCAAAAAATTCGGAACAAAACAGAAAATTCAGTGGATGTGAGACTTTTCAGACGAGGAAAGAGATATATGGACCTCTAATAAATACGGTAAACATGAATCTGATCATTACATGTCGGCAATCTAAATGACACATTGATTTTTTACCTTATTATAACTTCAAAAAACCCACTAACTTTTTAGAGAATGTTTGTACAATCAAGAAAATCTTTTACTTTTATGAAGACCACGACGTTTATTTCGTTTTTAAGTACCCGATAATTGAAAGTAGATTTATAAATATACACAGTTGAGCTTGATAAAATCATAAAATGCATCACTGATTAACATCTTTATCTTTCTACAACATTAAATAATTTTTAAAAGCCATAGACATCGTTCATTTATTTATGCACGTTTGTATACATAAGCAAACTGTCCCACCTCCATGCTGAAATGGATACTTTTTGCGCCTTTATTGCAGGAGAGTTACAATCTCGAAACTGGCGTATTGAACTTTACAATATAATTGTTCAGTGTTGTAATTAAGGCTTATTCTTATCAAACTATAATCCATGATTTCACTCATTTAGAATCCATTCAAACCAATGTAACAATTGTCTTCCTGCATTTACTTCACACATATACAAATCAAGGTAAATTATATCCCATTTTCACAATTTCTGAATTTTTTCCCATCATGCCTTGAAGATTTCATTCTGTCTCACTATAAATATTAATCATCTCTATCAGATATAAATAAAGAACAATGTCACTCAGATCTACCTGTTTTCACCTGTTACAGTAATACATCAGAGCTTAGCCAGGGATTATATGTCACTTTATTGTCAATATCTCTCATCAAATGTTAAAAACCTTCCCTTTGAAGGAAAAGCCAGACTTTTACTTGAGAAGGTTTTAAAATTCTTCACTGATCAGATTAAAATTCAAGGGCCATTTTCATCAAAAGGAAATATTTCAGAACTAAATAGAAAATTAACAACTACCCTTTGCTTTGCTGTGTTACCATGGAAACATGTATATACAGTTACCATGGATATATACACTTCTTATCTGAGGAGATGGGAGTCCTTATATTCTCATGGATACATACACATAATTTGATTATTCTTACCTCAGGAGGAGAGAGTCCTTGCTGTGTTACCATGGATACATGTATATACAGTTACTATGGATACATGTATAATCAGTTCTTACCTCAGGAGGTGGGAGTCCTCACTCTGTTGCCATGGATACATGTATATACAGTTACTATGGATACATGTATGTACAGTTACTATGGATACATGTATAAACAGTTTTTACCTCAGGAGGAGAGAGTCCTCACTCTGTTACCATGGATACATGTATATACAGTTACCATGGATACATGTATATACAGTTACTATGGATACATGTATAAACAGTTCTTACCTCAGGAGGTGGGAGTCCTCACTCTGTTGCCACGGATACTTGTTTATACAGTTACCATGGATACATGTATATACAGTTACCATTGATACATGTATATACAGTTACCATGGATACATGTATATACAGTTACTGTGGATACATATATATACAATTCTTACCTCAGGAGATGGGAATCTTTGCTGTGTTGCCATGGATACTGGTCTTCTCTGTAAGGTTTCTTACTCAGTAACGGGGCACAGAGTTTGTTACCCATCATGCATCTGGTCCATGCTCACTGAAACAAAATCAAAATAGAAAAAATTAAAAAACTGCTGTAGAATCATATCATTCCTTGTGGACCAATGGATTTCTAGGTTCATCCTCAGCAATGAATTACATCCCCATGAACAATTAATTTGTTTAACATATATTAGTTAATTGAACCCTAATCCCTATGGGTTATGCACAACATAAAGCCCTCCCCCTCCCCCCTTCTAAAACTGTGGTAACGTTGTTGTTGCCCATGGAAAACTGACCCCCATGAGTTTAATTAAATATTGCCACAGTATTATACCATAATTCATGAAATAGCTCACTTAGAATTTATCACAAGCATGATAAGCATAATCTATCCTATTTTTTCTTTCTTTTGATCACTTTTACACCTTATACAATATATAAGACAAATCACCTGGGATATATATATCAAATTCCAACATTTATTAATCGTATAACCCTAAGCATTTAGCCATTATACTTACAATCATTGCATTCATCTGATCATCTTATAATAAACAATGAAGTGCTGGCTAGAACTTGTATATTTACATGACTGCCTAAATATTTAGCAATGATCTGGTGTGTGTATCGTTCCACACAATTTAAAACAAAATCAACTGACCCCAATATCCAACCACTTTTTTTATCTTAATCACTCAAATTACCCATAATTCCTCATCAAAGAGCTCCGTTCAGGAGGAAGTAATTAGATTAGCCGGCTATCTTATGTCAATCTTTGAAAAGCCACAAAACAGGAGAGAAGAGGAAAATAGCTGGATTTCAATTGGAAACAATTACAGCCTCTGTCTATCTGGTAGTGGGCATCACACCAGCTGGTAAACCCCAGAACCCAGCAAATATTTACCTCTAATAATCCAGGATTCCTCCAGTATTATATATATTGTAAATACAATCTTTTTATACATTTTTTTTTAAATTCCAAATGAATTAATTTATTAGGGGAGGGGGGGGATTTAATAACAACAGCAAATTTATGCTTAACTGTAGCTGAATTAACTCTTCATAGGGATAAAGAATAGAATTTCCAAAATCAAATACAATATCATCACAGCTGTTTATGTTTCAATTTTTCCTTTGCCATGTCACGCTTTCAGTCTGATGAATAATATAATCAAATATGGTGCTTATATTAAGCAGATATACTGTAGAAGCACAAATTTTCGTGGGTTAAAATTTCGTTGTTTTGTGATCAAAAATAGTTTCGTGGGCATTTAATTTCGTTGTTTTAAAAGTAAGACTATTCAATATGGCCAGCATTTTTTTATTTTTAGGTTTACGAACATCAGAATGAAAAACTCCCGTAGGAGGAGGAAATAAAAAAAAAAATAATTATATTTTGGATACATTATTGACTTTTCTACATTAATTTTTGCTTCTTTTTTTACGCTCTCCTAACAGGCTTCTTGCCACTGGACACATAAGAGTTACAAAGGGGAAAATACAACCTTTAATTGTTTATTTCATCATCTACCAGTTGGGGGCAGTGATATAAATCTTTTGATGTTGGACAAAATACAGATTTTTAAAAAAAAAAATCAATTTTTTAACTCTCTTTTAATAAATCTTCATTTTTGTTTTTAATGTGTGTTAGGTAGAAATTATTCTAAAATATTAATATACTCGAGACCTATAAAAGTAATAATTCCTTTCATAAAACAGACAGGGAGTATTCCCAAGGAGTATTGAGGAGTAGGGTGGAATTTTTTTCAATTAAGTGTAAAATAATTTTTCTGGCTGCCATAATAGATACTACATGCCTGTATATATTTGTATATTCTTGTTTCTAAATAGTTGAAATATTCTATTTCTTTAGGCTATTGTTTATTTCTTCCTCATATGGACTTAACTTCTCCCATAGTTTTATTCATTACATCTGATGCATAAGCGACCCTTTTCTGAAGAATGATGCTAAGACTGTAAGTTATGACAGAAACCTAAACAATGTCTCTGACAATAGCTACCACGGGCAGTTTTAAACCTGTGGGAGGAAAATAATTTACAATTACAGACAGTTACTTTTGAATACGGATACATAATTATCTCACCAACATGTCACTTTGCAACGAAGTCGTCAGCATTTTATTGTTCTCTGAATGGGTGAAACGTTTTGAATGGCACTCCTATCGATAAATATTTACATTAAACCAAGCTTTAGTGCTGCTATGGACTTGACACAAATAATTTTTCTCCCTTCATTACCCGCCATGTTCATTTAAAACCGGAAGTACGAGTTCGTAAATTTGAAATCTCGATCCCGACTCAAATTTGACATCGGAAAGAAAAAATTCTGTTTTTCTCAATTTTATTTTTTTTCTGAAAATTCAAAAACCTGAGCGGCGGGTTTGTAAACCTAAAAATAAAAAAATGCTGGCCTATATAGTCATATAAAATTTCGTGTGGGATTTAATTTCGTTGAATATTGTTAACAACAAAATAAACGAAATTTAATCCCCCACGAATATTTGTGCTTTTACAGTAATTAATAGACTGATTGCCAGGGGAGTAGCTTTATAAACCTCTTCGGCACCTCAGAGACCAAGGCATGGTCATATGGCACAAGATTTAACAACACAATGGACTGGTCAACAGGGATACTTACTCCCTCTTGGCACCTGATCCCGGGTCTAACATTTCCATGAGTCTCCATATATGT